TACCAAATGCTATTATTATGTGAAAATTCTCGATTTTATTTTTTACATTTTTAACTTTATAATGCTATGACATATTTAAAAGTGTATGGATCAACATTATTTTTTTATAAGAAATAATATTTTTTAATAATCCCTTTTTCATTCGACATACTTTATCTTAATTAGGATATTAATAATGAACTAGCAGATCATGTAGCTTTTGGAATAATCCACCAATTTTTTAAAATTAAACACTCTAAAGATTTGCATCGAAGCGTTTTTTTTTTATAGTGATTTTAATCACTGTCAGCTATCATTATACTTGATCCATCTATACCACGTCACCACTGTGCCGCGACCCCCCTGTGCTGGGTTTTTTTTTATTAATTTACTTTGGTATAATTCAGCTTAAGTTTAATCTAAAATTGATTTAATTGTAAATATATCAATTTATTTTTTATCCATTAATTGTATTAAGAACTCATTATTTTAATTTGACTTCTTCGAAAAAAAAAATTAACTATATTAATGAAAATTTTTTTAGTCTGTGTGATTGCTAATTGGAAAATTTTTGGTGCAGTATTTTTTTAATTCTAAAACATTATGAACATTAATTATAAAATAGCACTATGGATGAATATGAATATTAACTATAACTGGCAATTTTTTGTATAGGTTTTTATTATTAAGTGTAATTTTACCTATCGTTGTTGTAACTGTCATGAACTATAGCATTGCAAACACAGTTAAACACGTCGGCATAGCATTCATCAACGATGAAATAATTACATCAAACTGCAAAAATTATACTTCTAATGGTTGTTTTTACGATATGAACTCTACAAGTTTTTTTAGTTGTAAAGTTCTGAATTATTTAAAATCGACCAACTATGATTTGGTAAGATTAATAGTACAAGTAAATCAATAGTAATAATCATAGTTGTAAAAAATAATTTTAAAAAGTATTTTAAATAATACTCAAATATTTTTAAAAAAATGTATTTAAAATACTATTTGAATACTTTTCATACAAAAGTATTTGAGTAATACTCAATTACTTTACAAAAGTATTTCAAATACTAAGAATACAATTAAAAAATAATAATAATGTTTTTATTTTAACTAAGAGCAAAAGGTTCCACCTAAATAATTACCAAGAGGGTAATTTGAGTCAAATATTGAGTACTCTTAAATTAAGAGAACTCATTTATTATTTTCGATATTTTTTGTTAGAGGTAAATAAAATTAATTATTGGAGACTAATCAGTGAAAAAAATAAATATTAGTACACGTGTAAAAACCTGTAAAGTATGTCTTATTGACAATAGAGTAAATCATTTGAACCTGCAATAGGCTATTGTAGGTTCAACTGATGTATTAAAAATACATGTATACATAATAGCATTTAGATAAGCACAATAATTATGTTATACTATAATGTAACATATAAAATAACAGAGAATTATTCTTAATTTTCATTTTGACAGAGTTTAATTTGCTTGCTGTGTTACGGTTAGCAAATTAGAAAAAAAAAGTATACTAATAGTACTGAATATTAAACAGTATTAAATACTAAATAATTGTATTTAAAATACTACTCAGATACTTTTTATTAAATGTATTTAAAAATACTATTCAATACCAATGAAAGTATTTGAATACTTTTATTCAAATACATTTACTCAAATGCTTTACGCCTTTGGTAATAATTAAGTCACTGTATTAAATATAGTTATAGTTAATATAGTTAAATTTCTAAATTTAATAAAAATAAAAATCACTAGAAAAAATGATATAAATCAATAAAAACAGTCATTCATAAAAAAATTATTTTTTTGTTATAAACAATCAATAATGTTTGAATAATTTTTTTAAAATTTTATAAGATTAGTTAATTTATTTTAATTTGGACTAGTAGAATAAGTATGTTAATAATGAGAAAATAAATTATATAATAAAATAACGGCAATAGATCAAGAGATGAAGTTTTAAATTCAGTCTAGAATTAATAAAAATGATAGAAAAACGAAAAAGTTTATAGAATTATATTAAGGCAGAATAGCATAATTTCTGACTCTCAATAGTAAAGAGTTTAGTAAAATATATTTAATATTTATAATTTTTATTCAGGTAGAATTAAAATCAAAAGAAGATGCATTGAATATAGTTTATGATTTAAACATACATGCTTTACTATTTTTCCCAAAAAACTACACCAAAATAATTCAACAAGAAATTATTGATTCTTCAATTAATTTAATGGATGCATTCAACTTTTCTCAAGTAGACGACAAAAGTAATTAAATTTAGTTATTATTTTATAAAAATGCAAAACTGAAGGAAGATATTTTTAAAGGAGCATAAAAGGAGTTTGAGGGTGACTGGAGTGGTTAGATCCTTCAAAAATATAATTAGCCTCCCCCATTTTATTTTTAAATCTATTTAACAAAAATCTTTCTTTATTGATAAATGTTAATTTAATAATTTGATTGTATTTTTAATTGATTTTAACATTTTAGATTAAACTATACAATACATTAAATTTTCTTCTTTTAAGCTGCTCTAAATAAAATTCATTATTGTTTGAGGAATTTTTTTGCTATTAATTATCTTAGCTTTTAGCTAATTGATTTGAGGCCTCTTTTTGTCAATGAAAGTTATTATTACATTATTTAAAAGCAGAAATATATCTGGGGGAAAGATACTGGGTACACGAACTGCGAACACCACTGAAATACAAAAAATATATAAATTATTGAGTTGAAAACTATTTTCTCATTTAAATATAAAAAACCTGCATAGTAGGGACATGGCATAGTTAGGATAAGTATAGATGATATCAGATAGTGATTAAAATTATCATAAAAAACGCTTCGATGCAAATCTGTCGATAGTGTTTAAATTTTACAAGGAAATAATGGATTATTTCAAANGCTCTAATTGCTACATAAAATAATAATGTTACCGTGATGGTAAAACTACTGAATTGTTTCATCAAATATCGTGCATTTTAAAGTAGCGAATCTGGTTTAAAATTCATTATTTTTTATTATTTTTTTTTTTTTATATATATATAATAGTCGGTTAAGGGGGGGGGGGAGTTCTTATCCTCTCCTTAATATGAATATTCATTTTATCCAAAATATACGAAAGACATTTATTAAAATATATTATTTTGATTTATTCGTTTTTAAAAAAGTTTAAAACAGTTTTAAGAAGAAAACTTAAAAATATATCGAAATATATCAGTTTTAAAAATAGTTATTTTTTGGGGAATTTTCCCCATCTGTGAGGAACGAGGAAAATTTTTTAAGGTTTTTAGAGCAATATCTTCAACTAGATACAACTTGTGATCTTTTGACAAATTGTTGAAAAAATTTAGACCAGTGACAGCTGACAAATATTAGTGACAGACATACAAAAATTAATAATACTAAATTAAACACATCAAAGCATAACTGAAATTTTCTCAGTTTTTCATGGAAGCTACAAAAATAGCGAAAAAATTATATATATAAAATCGAGAAAAATTTGTTTGGCGAGCATAATAGAAATGTAATTGAGTGACAGAGTTGAGTATCTCAAGCGGCACACAATTCTTAAATGCGTCTCTGTTTAAAGTCAATGTACAATTTTAATGTATATACTCTCTTTTTATTCCATTCTTTTATAAATAAGTTGTGAAATTATCCCTCATTTTAGATTATATTATTAATACTCAAATTAAAAAAGATTTGAATATGGCAATCATTGATTATATGAAAGAAGTTACATCTTTATGCAATAATATTGAAAAGGAAATTAATACATTTATAGTAAGTTTATTACTTGCTTTAATACATAATATATTTTACATTATATATTATATTATACATAATAATAATTTAATTTATGTTAATAATTTTGAAAGTAAAATATATTTTATATTAAATTTTTTTATTATAACTTTCGACCTTTTGCAGATTAAAATTATGATTATTTGTATAATTTTTGTATATTTTAGCGAACAAATGTTGTACATGGAGCTAATGTGAATTCATTCAAGGAATCAATCATTGGTATTTTATTAGCCAGGTATGTGATTATTATGATCGATTATAACGAAAATAATAATGGATGATTTTTGTTAGAAGGTGATCAGTGTCGGCCTGACAGATGTTTGGGTTCCTGGCATATAAATTTCAGTGGGCGCGTCACAAAAATATGTAGGAAATTTTCTTTGGGAGAGAAGGTTTTTTGAAATTTTCAGATCTCAGAACAAGGGGGACAATTTCTACATGTCAGAGAATATAGAGGGGCTAGGGAGCTTATAGACTATGGGACCCCGATGTTAAAAAAAAATTGGGTCAGACTGAGTAGTAACTTTTAGGTGACCAAAAACACGAAATAATTTTCCTGGTGATAAAAGTGACTTTACAAATTAAAAATCACAATGGAACCATGACTAAACTATTTAAGACAATATTATTGATAAAACTAAACGCAATAAAAAATGTTTTAATAAAATTAGTATACAACCTAAAAATTTCATAATTTGGCTGCATTAATTGGTCAAAAATTTAACGATTCACAAAAACTGTCTATATAGTATAAATATTTTTACTGACTATGTATGTTTGTTAATTATAGTTGTGTATTTTATCATACAGCAACAGGATCTTCGAGTAACTTAATTGCAGATAAAATTAATGGTTCTCTATTAAGATCAAAAACAACAGGTAATACATTGGCTGTAAAATTATTTAAATTAATGGTATGTCAATGGGTGAGTAAATGNTAATTGCAGATAAAATTAATGGTTCTCTATTAAGATCAAAAACAACAGGTAAAAACCTTTTTAAACCTTTCACTTTCTTCGTCTATTTAATTATAACCATTTATGTAAAATATTTACATATATACAGATTTTTATACATATGTCAGTGCGGTAGTAAATGATATGTGTTATAATAATATAGTCTTTACAATTGATAAAAGAGAGTTTAAAAAGCGAAAGATTCATATTTTTGAGGGGCTAAATTTAATTATTCTCTCTCCAAAAAGTAATTTTTGTATAATAATGCTTATCATTTTGCAAAAATTTCTAGGGGCTAAATTCTAAACTGGTGGATAATCTTCATAGCCTCCCAAACTCTAGGTCTATACTAATGTTTTCTCGTATTGTTATTATTAACGTATCTTAGTATATGTAAAGTACGGGTAACAATTGCATATCCTTCAACAACAAGGAGGTTTTGATCCTTAATGGGATTACCTACTTAGCCACTTTTATTCCAAAACAAAATAAGCTGCCGATAATTTATAAAACAAACCTCCATGTTAAATTTTTATTTTGTTATCGCTATAAACTTACTTAATAATAAATTTAAAATACAATACAAATTGTATTTACAGTCAGTATATGGCTAGATTGGTTGACCCTTTAATACATAATTATTAAGAAGCCATTAATCTATAAATTATTATTACTATAATTTATCATATTTAAAGTCCCCTTTAAAAGCTATTGTTTGTGTCAAAGAGAACGAAAAACCTACATAGCCCAACGTAACGAAATCGAATCCTCATATCTAGTCACTGAGACACGATTGGTACGACTTTTTTTATAAATGGTCCTATAAAACTCGTCAGCTTTGTACGCCACACATTTTTAAATATTATTCCTTAAAACTATAATTATGACCATATTACACATTTCGAGTAATCCAACAGTATATCTTTCATTCAACGAGTAGGCGCACAAAATTTTTTTTTAACAAATCTCTGTTATCATTTAATAATTTTGAACATTACATTAACTTAGTCTACAAATAAGCCAACTATCAACAATTCAATTGAAAAGGTTGAAGTGGGTACACATAGTAATTATGTAAAAGTACATATATTTAGATTTATTTAATAAAAACAATTCAAATCTTTGGGAGGCTCTGAAAATATTTTCTGGCATTTATCGTAACTCAAAAATTAATAAAATAAAATTAGAATATGAGTAGTATAAAATTGAGAGTTGGAGTTGGATTGAAATTGAGAGTGGGAGTTACTTTTAATTCAGGATGTGATTCTATGGTTATGAAATAACATAAATCTAGTAAATCTTATTGATTTTTAAAATCTTACCTGAAAGTTTCCTGGTTCTTATAATATCTTGAATAATATTAATATTAATCAATAATTGAAAAATAAAATAACACAAATCAATTTAGTTCACAACTTTATCACGTAAGAACTTCGACAATGATGATCACAATATCTGCATAACGATATCTAGATCACGAAAAATAAAGCCCAGAATAAGGGATTGTTCTGCTTTTTTATAATATTTTTAACTCCCGAAAATCATCATTGTCTAATTCTTACAGTATAATTGTTTATTGATAAGTGAGCATAAAATACAGAATGAATGGAGTACATAAATCATTTTGACATTTTATATATAACATCAATATTGATTTTTACACATAAGATTAGGATAAATACAATGCATTTAATTATTAAAATTAGAATAAAAAAGATAACAATTTATAGATTTCTTTTCGGTAGGAACGATTTTTAAAAGTGACTATTAATCAATTTATGATAGATTTGTGTGTATTATAATATAATTAAACAGTATGTGTTTGTTAAATGTTTTTCTTAAATCGTTTATTTAAATTTTTTGTTTGAAAAGGATTATGTCCTTCTAATAATATAATGTATAAATATCCCATGTTATGGTAGTGACAAGTATATTACGACACATTTTATGGTAAAATAATAGTTAGTTAAATTAATAATTAAAGACCTAAATCGAGTATAGTACTTTAAAATTTAGTTTATCTCTTCTTAGCACATGGGTACGTCCATTTTTCTACAATCTTAAAAAATAATTTTGAATAAGCCATAAAATGTTGGTACAAATTACAAATATAAATGAAATACTTTATAATTGGGTAGCTAAATATTATTTTTCCCAAGTCGGTCAGATCACGCCTATCCACCCCTATAATAGTTGTAATATTACATATATTATATGTATAATATTACATATATACATACAATATTCATTGCAGACATTATTTTAATTCTAATTTCATTATGTATGTATATTTCTAATTTAGCTACACAGTTGTAAAAGAACTTTCTTTTATAAAAAATGAAAAATGATTTCAATTTTAAACTAAATAAAAACCACAGAAAGTATATTTAAAAAACAGAATGTACTTATTATTTTATTTCATTTAAACCAATAAACATTTGATTTTAATTAATATGGTAGTTGGAAAACGTTAAGGGGAGTGCGCTATGTAATATTACACATAGTTATATTTTTTCTAATACATCAATTACACAAAAAAAAATCATGATAAGGAGTAAACACTCGTAGCTAAGATACATGATGAAATCAATCATATAAGATTTTATTGGAATGTAGTCTATATGAGTATTGCGAAAATATTACTAGATAAAAATTATAAAATAAATCTAGTTATACTAGAAAATAGTTACACTTAAAGAAATATCAATATTGCGGTTTGCATAATTTGCTATCATTTTATATAATATTAGTTTATTGATCTGCTTTACACTAATAAATTAATAAAACGAAATGCATAAATTTTGCATTCGTTGTATTTTGCACACAGTAATCATATTATAAATGTGAAATTAACTTTAAAGTATGATAACCCGTTTTTAATTCTGTTCTACTATAAAGTTTTATTTTTAATAATATTAGGTTTCACTACCAACATTAAATCACGAAATGCACTTTTACTTATTGATCAAAACATATTATTGTAAACTTATTGCTTGCTCAGTGACCTTAATCTTTTTTTCTTTTCCACTTAAATAAAAAACAAATGAAATTTACATATCTATTGATTAGAATTTAGCAGCGAACGATTAAAAAAGTTTTTAAATAACTTCATTGGACTATGTTTATAAAAATTAATAGAACAATTTTAATAATAGAATATTTATTATAGTATGCTATATTAATATAAAAATTTAGATAAAAGAAGAAAGTTATTTGAGAAATTGCAAAATAATTACCTTGAAAACAATAATAATAATATTAAGTAATTTTAAAAGGTTGTGGCTATATCTTGTTGTTTATAAACATGTACGTATCAAGCGAGTTATCATTAACCTGATTTTCATTTTATTAATAATTATAATATATTTTTTGACTTTTATATATGTGACAACATTTTAATCTAGTAAGTAACGATGAATAATTATATTTAATAATAGTATTAATTGCATAGCGTAGTCGTTAGGAAATACAATGTTTTCATTTTTGCGTACTTCTTATACTGTGTCTTATAAAGTATATTGACAAAAATATAAAAAAGAGAATGTATAGTTATAATTTTTTTGATGTTTGATAATTAATTTTTCATAATGCATAATATTTGAATGTATTTTTAGGTCTTACAGAACTGGAATTAGTTGCTTCATTTGCCGTTATCCAAATTTTAGCAAGCTTTTGCCAAATTATTATTCTATTGCTCATGACATTTATTATTTTTGATAATCCCATACATAGTTTTGACAGTATATATGTAGTTTTCTTTGGACTTTGGCTTGCAGTCGCACTTGGATTTCTATTCGGTAAGTAGAAAAAATAATAGAGTAACTAAATACATACTAGATAAAGGAAATATTTTTTATACTTATTAACTGATATATCATAGTAAATTTTTATTATAAGTTAAACTTAATTTTTTCTAAAATTTTAATGGTTTTATATAAATAATTGCGAACGATTTATTTTTCGTTGTTTTGTTAATAAATTTATCTTGACTTAAATAATTTGAAATTTGAATAGACTATTGACTATTAACTGGCTTGAAAATTATAAAATGGTAGACTAATATATACCCCCCTGAAGTAATGCCTAACGGCAGTTTCCGGGCTTTTCACAGCAATGCCGATCGTGAAAAAAAATGACTAATATATACTTATTGTCAATCTAATATTCTCAAAAAAGTATTTTAACAATTAATTTAAAAATGTTTTTGAGTTTTAAATTTTTGAATATCAATCAAATTGATTATTGTTAAATGAAATAAAAAAAATTGTTATTAGTACAATTAAATTAATTTTAGTAAAAATGTATAAATGAATAATAATAAACTAAAAATTTATTTTAATGTTACATGGCTTGGTTTTTGCTGTTATTTTTAATTGGAATACGATATTTCAAAAAAATATATATTGACTATCTTCTATACTAATTTGAAGTGTCTTTTAATTTTTTTAACAGGTGTGATTTCCGTTGGATTCTCAAAAAGTAGTACTGAAGTTATGTTAATTACATTTTCAACCATAAATTTCCAACAATTATTAAGTGGTAATTTCTTTATGTTATTATGGTTTAAACATTACCTTTTAAGACCATATCAACTTTTTAACGTTATAAAATTCTAAAACCGAATATTTGTAAAATTGATTAAATATATTTTTAACATAATTACGAGGCCAGTAAATTATCTTTAGAGTTTGGTTCAAAAAATTTGACAAAACAAATGTAAATTTGAAGTAAACTTGAAGTGTTGGGATCAGTTAAGATTTATCTTCATTTCCTTAGTAGTTGTGAAGTTATAGTTACTTGAGAATTTTTTATTGGAAAAGTGTTTAAAAATTTAATATTTAATCATCTGAATTTACTATTCTTACAGGTTTTATGTGGCCGTTAAGTGGTCAACCTTTATGGCTACAAATAATCTCAAAAAATATGCCAATAACAATTGTATCAGACATTTTATGTAACGCTATATTAAAAGGCTGGACATTAACTCACCCAAAAACGATGATGGACTCTGCTAAAATAGTTTTTTATATAATATTACATGTAGTTACACTTTTTTGTATAAACAGATATAAAAAAAATGCGTGGTTTGTTCAGAAATAATAATATAATTTAATATTTCGAAGTCATATATCATGGAAACATTTTTTGTGACAAAAATGTAAAAAAATATAATTCTCATTTTTATTGTTTGCGCTAGGAAATATCTTTTTGTTTATAGACATATTTTTAATTATTTTTACTTTTATATTTTAAATGTAATTAACTTTTTTTTTTTTAAATACAAATTAATTAGTAAAGATGTAAAGTTGAAATGAAATTTACTATAAAACAACAATACAAACTTATTAGAAAATTCCAAGAGAAATTTAACATACAACGTGTACTTAAAATAAATTACTAGAAATTAAAAAAAATAATGTCATCTTTGATGTAAGCTTATGCATATAATTTCAAACACTGCATTATATAATCTATATAAATGCTGTAAATTGAGTTATTAAATTGGGCGATGTAAAGTTAAGGTTTATTGTTTAATCATCACCTACTCTTATTAGTACAAAAATCATACACTATTTAAAGTAATGTTAAGGCATACTGTGAATAATGGGGGAGCTATATCCCCGTCAAAATTAAAATTAATTACCAATCAAAAAAGAATTCATATTTTAGGCAAGTGTTGCTTCATAATTTACTGTTAATTGTTATTAATAAATATAATAATACAATTTATCTAAAAGAACACTTGCAAATAAAACTTCCAAATGTTCCCATAGTAGGAATTTTTAATGCATACAATGTATGGGAAAATGTTGATAACCTAGTAATAAAAATGTATGTTTACAAATAATGATACTTTTACTAACAACTAGCATGCCAAATTAAAGCGCTTATTAAAATATCATAGTTGTGTATGGACATTTCTCGATTTCTGCTTATAGTATGAATATTCAAGTAATTTATCTTATTTACAGAATATAGCAAATTATAAGAAGTACTTTAAGTTCATACAACGTAAATATTTAAAAACATAATATAATTATTATTTATATGTGTATCTTCAAGCGATCAAACTAAAAATGTAAAATTAATAATTCAGTTAGTTGGCTACATAAAATTTAAAGACTTTTAAAAAAAATTACAAAAGCACAAACATACGGGAGAGTCGCAGTGGTACCTAAAATATCTTCATCTTTCACTAGATAACCTTGAACGATTTTCTCGTCTAACGGCACACATAACAAAAAACAAAGTAACTGTATTCTTTCTGTGATGGCATGGCTTTGACAGTCATTCGCTTGTAGATTACTCGCGAGAGGAGTGTGTAGTATAATGGATGAAACAGAATTTAAGTCTAATGCGGTTCGTGTTGTAAACGCTTTTAAATCATATACAGTGAATGCAAAAGTGTTAAAAGGATTAAATCTCAATGTACCTTCAGGATGCATGTAAGTAATAATTATAAAATAAAGATTACAAAATGATATCTTTGAATTATATATGGTACTGGTATCTGTACTTCAATTATAAAAAAATATTGGTATAGCTAAGTATTTACAATATTTTAAATTTATGTTACCTAAATTGAACTTCTTCTTATATTTGTACAGAGTATGTAGGACATGAATTTTATTAGGAACAAGACCTAATTTCGAATTTCTAATATTCCTATATCCGGAACTAGTAACTAACCTTTCATAATTGATAAAATTGGAGATTTTACCAGATAAATTAAATTGTTTTTTGAATACATATAAATTCATGTTATTTAGTTAATTTTCAAGTTTTAGTAACAAAATCGGGTAATGCGAACATCCTAAATTAATATGTTTACTAGTTGGAAGCTGAGTCGAATTAACAATACCAAGAATTATATTTGATTATTTTTCCATATTTAGTAAATAAAATTTACCAAAAAATGTTGAATTTTATAAGTATCTAGGTAATTATAAACATGTGTAAAAATTTAAGATATTTGATATGGTTTATTTATAAAACGAAAAAATCTTAATTTGATAGTTAATATAAATAATTAAAAACCGAGGTTGATTATTTAAAAAAATAGCATATAAATAATTTTACATTTAGCAAAATAATATAAACTTAACTCTTTTACAAGAGATTTATTGAAACACTTGTATGTTAGAGATTTTAGCCATTCGGAAAATCGTTTTCAAGCTGAAAAAAGTTAAGAAAGTTAGTCTTTTGTAACTTAGAAATGAAAAGTTTCAAAAAAAATGGATTTCATTACTAATGTATCAAAAATAACCTTTTAACCTAATGCATTCAATAAGAACCTAAGAAACTAGAAAGTAACCCAAAGGACGAATATTTTTAATGAATAAAGAATTAAGACATAAAGCAAAGAAAGTAATATGATGTGATATACATGGATGGATTTTTTAATATGAATCTTTAAGTTTGATCTTATACAAAGGTTAATAAAAGACCAAATTAAACATTCTGAAAGAAATTTATACTGTTTTTAAAAATTAATCTTTTCAATAATTATTGATAAGGTATCCATAATTATTATCGATAGCTTTCTCTCAATAATTGTATTTGATACATAAATTATCCAGTTTGATTTACAGATTTTGTTGTAGCAATAATTATGAAAAATAGCACATATTAGCATTAGTATATAAAATAGAATTAAATATTCATATTTAAATATTTATAATGAAAAACAATACTTATATAAAAATTACATTCATTAGGAGTATGTTTTATTTTTAATACCTAATTGTTTATAATTATAGTAATTTAATATTTTGAATAATTTAAAAATTGATTATTAAAAAAACATATAAATAATGATTTAAGACAAAAAAAACATTTCATTTTGAAACATTTACATATGTTACATTTTGTATGTTACGTAAAACAAATTAATAATTGTAAGAATTTAAAGTCAACATATTTTTAAATTACTTGAATTTTATAAGTTAATATGGTTCTTAATTATAATCTTTATTAATTTATAACCTTTATAAATGAATTGCCTATTAATACTAGAAGAACCTACTCATGCAAGCTAATTTATATCAAACTATATTATCTAATTAAATAATAACCATGAACAAATAAATCATTTTTAGTTTTTATTAAAACTCTTGGTTTATTAAAATACATAATTTTTTTTATTATGCCTAAATCAGGTTATAATTTGAAATTCAATTGAACATGGTTTGTGCAATTGGGAAAATTTTTTGTGTTGTTGACTAAAACATTTTTGGTACCTAAAAATTACTAAAAATATAAATAAAAGCAAGCTACAAAAATACCTATGAAAAATATTATTATTTTAATTACCTTTTTTTATGATATTATCATATCAACTAAACACAATAATATTTTATTAGAATAATATGTAATGATATTAGATTACAATAATATAATTAAAGTAAATTAATATTTTTTAAATATTACTTTTTAATCTGGCATTAAATTTTGAAAAATAAGAACATCCCTAATGCATATACAATTTCCATTAGGGCGATCTTTATTTCTCATCCTGCGTATAAAGTAATTCTTTTAATGCTAGACACTCGATTTCTCTTAAAATAATAATTATTTTAAGAAAATTAATCTTGTTATTTTTAGTTTCATATATTTCTTGATTTATCAGTTACTAATTCATCTCGTACGCCTATTGAGAGTGTCAATTTTATTATTTAAATGATAAAATGGTTTAATTAAGAAATTGACTGTTCGATAACAACATTTGACTTGTTATTTCGGAAGTTAATATCATATTAAAAATATAGATTGGAGATGAGTTGGAAGTATGAGAACATTTATCATTTTTATCCAGCACCTCTCTTCTTACCTAGATATAAACATTTTAGTGTCTTTCGAAGTAATAATTTAGTAAAATTTGCTATTGCTTGGCTAATACATTTCCTAAAAATTTTACAAACACGACAATATTTTTATTAAATCAAAAAGATCGCCCGCTTTCACGTATATTTGTTTTTTTAATGGGTTATTGTGAGATCATTTATGTCTATATAAAACTATATAAGGATTAAGAATATTCCTAAGATATTAGCAATAAATGGTTGCGTTCCATTCTTTGTTACTAACTAGATATTTTAACAAAGAAGTTTCTTATTACATAATAACTGGAATAAAAATGTAATGTAAGTTTTTTAGGACTAGACTAATTTTAATAGGGTTTTCTTTAAAACTAGTTTGAAGTCAGTTGAAAGTGAAGTAGAACTCTTAGAAACATAACATAATAAACTTCCTAAATTAATTATTTAGATATAGAAATACAATTTAATTTTAATTAAATATATATATACATTTAATGCTTCATTATATCAGTAGATAATTATAGTGGCAGGTGGCACAAATATTTAAGTTTAAATTTTTAAATTTTCATACTTAATTTGTACTTAAAATGTTACAATTTCTTTTATTTCATAAAATAATAAATCATTATATGCAAATAAACTTCGGTAATTAAAATAAAAATACATTTTTGTATTTAATAGACCAATTCTTTATAATATATTATATAACATTAATTTTTTTTTTATATTGAAACATGTTGTAGGAAAAAAGTTCTTCTAGTACAGGATATTTGATTCTGATCAAAGTAATTAAATACAAAAATATTTTTTTCTAAATTATAAAAATAAATCCTGAATATAGTCATTTAAAAATAATATTACAAAAAAATAATATCTTCATCATCTCATTCAGTGTCAGAACGTTTTTTTTAAATTGTTAACATTAAGTTTAATATTATTAATGAAACATATATTATAGGATTTAGTGTAAAAATTCAGCAACTTTATTATTTTAAGAGATTGTTTATAATGTCAACTTAAAAAATAGTAGCGTTAAATTCATTTCAAAAACTAATTTAAATATATTAAAAAACTTTTTCTAAAGATTAGAAATTAAAACTCCCAAGTAAATTTAAAATTAAAATTTATATTAATGTGTTTTAAGTAATTACTACTAATAGTAGATAATTTTATAATAATAATTAGTAACGCCACTAGATTTTTGGGGTCAAAAGTAAAATTTGTTTAAGGTAAACAAGCTTAAATATATAAATTAAATATATATCACTTCAAAATAGTCATTGCAGGAATAAATTTTATAAATAAATAAAAATAATAAACTTAAGCCCTATTAAAGCTTCAAAGTATCCATTTGCTTAAAATCTGTACGGTTTATTATAATAATTTTATATTAAAAGTTATAGTGTAGTTATTTTGAAATTTAATATATCATTTATGCGTTTTCGATTATAATTTTTTTTTTTAGGGGTTAGGAGGGGCTACTACGTAATTAACTTAAAACTTTAGTAATACAAAACTATTGTGCATTTAAACCTATGTTTACTTAGTATTGTTCTATTAAAATAGTTATGGTCTTCTGGGGCCAAGTGGTTGCGGTAAAACTACTTTACTCAGTTCAATAATAGGTTTTCAAAGTCTAGATTCTGGTACCATAAGTGTTCAAACAGAAAACCGCTCGGATATTGGTTACATGCCTCAGGTAAGCGATCTTTTTCAATTACGTTATCTTTTTTGTCAAACTTAATTTTATACTTTTTTATTTATTTAGGAACTCAGCCTAGACGACTATTTGACTGTACGCGAGATTTTAGAATTCTATGGTTCGTTGTATAATATGTCAGAAAAATTAATACACAAAAGAATTAATGAGCTGCAATATGTTTTAGAACTACATTTTCTTGATTCATATATCAAAAATCTCAGGTAAAAATAAATAATTTCATAAATAATTAACATTAGGTAAATATTTTAGCTTTGATGTGTAACTGAGAATCTATTAGTTTTGCTCTGTTCAATACACATCTAGGCTTTAATGTAACGAGTTTATTTTGTCCTAATTATGTAATTTTTCCTAATTAATGGTACGCCAAAAAATAAAAAAAAATAGTTTATTATAATTGTTAAAAAATTCCCCTCAATCCCCGTAGTAGGAATCCAGCGTGGGTCTCTATTTTACTCAACTTTTTAGTATTTATTATTTTGTTTGTTGTAGTGGAGGACAATGCAGAAGAGCATCGCTAGCAGTTAGCTTGTTGCACGACCCAAAAATAATTATTTTAGATGAACCAACCGTAGGGCTAGATCCAATATTGAGTCACAAGTACGTACTTTTATATTTATGATTTGAACAAATTAATAATGTTTTCACAGTATTATCTGATCATAGCATTTGGAAATATTTTGTCAATTTAGTCAAAACAAAAGGGAAAACTATAATTATCACGACGCATTATATACAAGAAGCGCACCAAGCAGACATTGTTAGTAGAACATCTAAAAGTACATTCACTTGAAAAATGTGTTACTTATAAACTATTACTTTTTATAGATTGGATTGATGATTAATGGTAAAATTTTGGAGGAATCTTCACCAAAAAATGTATTGGAAAAATATGAAACAGACAATTTGGAAACAGCATTTCTGAGACTTTGTGAAGAACAAAAAGATAACGTGGTACTTCATTTATATTCATGGGCAAAGATTAGCAGTTCTATATAATTAAAGAAAATATACAAACCGTTTCGATTTAAATTTTGGAAATATTCTGAAGAATATTAAAATTAATGACATAGAACATTTTTATTCTTAGCCGGTCATAAGTTAAGGTGAGTAAATATACATAAAATAATACATTTTCATATTTTAGACTACAGATCAGCCAGGACCGCAACAAGTAAATTCAAAAAATAATAATAATAATAATAACAATAATGAAATAACTAAGAAAATGGACAGTGGCCTCTCTAAACATAGGATTCGAACGTTATTTAAGAAAAATCGACTAGTGACATTAAGAGATTACGTGTAAAGTGGTTTAAAATTTTTTTAAGCTCCAATTAAATAAGCTTCTAATTTAAAGCATTTTTTAGATTTTATTTCAATATGTTGTTGATTCCCACATTTCAAATTTTTAACTTCAACATTAACGTAGGAGGTCGAATGGATCACGGCCAAATTGCCATTAATAATGACGAAGTTAATTTTAGCCAATGTAAAAATTCAAATTATATGGATTATAATGGATGTATATTTGATAAAACCTATAATGCCAATTTGAGTTGCCATTTAATTTCTATTCTGAAATCTCTAAATTATGACATAGTAATTAAATACAATTTTTTTTTTTATATATATTATAACATAATTTATTCATTTTCTATGAAATTAGTTAGAATTAAATGATCGAAATTTTACTGCAAAAGATGTTGAAAGGTCAAATGTATTCTCATATCTACGTTTTCATAAAAATTTTACGAGGGGTATTCGAAAATACATACTAAGGGAACAAGATTTTTCCTATGAAGATGTCTTATATTCACACATTCCAAACAGAAGTAAAAAATAATAATTCCTTATGCACTTTAAAACAATTTCTTCATAACATAATTTTGATTTACAGATTTATTGATTAAACAGCAAATCACATTTGACCTCATAAAAGCCTTAAATATACTTCTAGGCAAAGAAGTAAAATATTGTAACAAGAACGCAAAATTAGTCAAGTTGCCTATGGTGAATAAAATTTATTTTTTTGTAGTTAAATACAGCAATCTTGATAATTGATGTTATTACAGACAGTCGACGTTTTTTTAGTAACTAACTTACTTAATTAATTTTTAGGAAATCGTTAGATTAGTTGGAGAAAAGGTGAAAACCCTACGTCATTACTCAATATCGTTTATCATTGCGTTGTAAGTTTAAACAAATTCATTATAAAACAATTTTAATGTAATTGTATTGTTAATATAACATAAAATTTATATTATAAATTTGTGTTTTTGATTATTTTAATTTGATAACTTATTTAAATTCATTAAATTGTTACTTTTTGAATGCTTTATAAATTAATAATATTGGTTATTATTTTTTAAGAACTTCCTACTACTTTTCTTGTATTTATTCCGGAAGTTTCATGATAACTGAAAAGACTAATGGTTTACTCAACAGATCTATGTTGGCAGGTAAAAGAAAATTTTCTTTATATTTCAATGTTTTAATGATTAAAATTAATCAACTCTTTAGGCGTTACAACTCAAGAAGTGATTATTTCATTGTTATGCATTCAAATATTTTTATGTGCTGCTCAATTTACCATTCAAGTATTTGTTTCGTTTGTGATTTTTTCAAATCCAGTAGAAATATCAAGTGGTCTGTTATTATATGTTACTGCAAATTTTTTCGTCGGATGGATTGGATTTTTTTATGGTAAATAATTGATTACATTAGGTGAAATGTTCATTACAAACATCATTTACAATTTTGATCTCGTTTAATATAGTCATTGTTAAAATTTTATAATATTAATGTTACTTCAGTTGAGAAATAAAAGTATCATGATAATTGTTATACAGGAATAGTATGTGCCGGAATATCAAACAATTGCATTGAAGTTGTATTCTTAGCGCTTGGATGTATTATGGGTCAACTATTTGTTGGAGGTAAACAAATTCGATATAAACATTTGATTTTAAAACGATTTTTAAGTTTGAATTTATTTAGGTGTAATATGGCCAATTGAGGCACAACACTATTTAGTACAATTATTATCGACAAATATACCAATGACTGTAGCCGGGAGGTTAATGAGTAATGTTTCATTAAGAGGATGGACACTGACAAATCCTGAGGTTATGGAGGATTTTATTAAAACTATCGTTCTCTTTTTCGCACATATTGGACTATTATATTGTTTGAAATTCATAAAAAAAGACCCATGGTCATTACGTAGATAACTAATGACTTAATAATGTATAAAGACTAATGCTCGCCGTTCTCTCTTACCTACTTAATTCGTTAACAAAACTAGAAATGCTCAAAAATAAAATAGTGTTAATTATAACATATTTGTATATAACCAAATTTTTGTACTTAGCTATCATAAAATATTTTATTTATTTGCCATATGAAAAATAATTCACTCTAATGTTAACCATTTTTTAAAAATAATTTCTGTATGTTAGATTAGCGAATATTTTTTTTACGGACAAACCTTTATTAATTTATTTATAATTTAGTTGTGTTAATAAAATTATTAAAAATTCAATTGCCTTTGAAAATTATATTATAATACTGGAACTTATTACTTACGTTTTTGAAATATTATTACGGGATCATATAATGAGAAAGGCCTAATAAATGTTCTATAAAATTTTAGAAAATTTATGCATGTCACAACATTTACAAAAATACAATAGGAGTTACAATTTTTGTGTAAAACATTACAACGTGTTATAAGACTTCATATTTGACACGCATGTCCTATTATCATATCCTATTATCTTGTAAGAATTTAATATAAAAAAAATTTCAACCACTATTTTATTATTGATATCTAATTGAAACAACCTTCATTTCTTTAAAACATATTATAATAAGTATAGTTTGTTAAACATCAGATCTAACAATAATTGAACTATTGTGCTTGTTTACAAAAATATATGAAGTAAAACAAAAAAAACAGTTTAAATTTATTCATTAAAATTGTATTTTGTCAGTAAAACTTATATAAAATGAACATAATTCTTGAAATATGTTAGCTATAAGTGGCAAGCCTTATAAATTTATTACAATAAAAAGTAATGAATAATACAGTCAAATTAAAAGATATTTCATTAGATCTGGTAGGTTATAAAATGCTGTTTCGCAAAATTGATCAGCATAATACATATTATCTATGGGTATATTACATTTACGCGAAGTTAATTATTTGATGTCGTCACAAGCCGTTAAAATTACCTATTTGGGTTTAAAAAATGATAAATTACCGTTTTATTTAAACGGTTTTAATAATGACGAAATAACATTACAGTGTACTAAAGTAGTCAATAAAATATGTTCTGTATCTAACCGATACATCGATTTGCTCGATTAGCTGCCGGTAAATTTTCACGTAAAATTTTTCTCCTGAGACATTCCCGAAACGAAATTCCCACTGCTCGGCACAATCGATCGCCCTGTAATTTTAATAAAAAATTTGATTTAATAAAATCAAACTAGACTTCGATATAACTTATTAAAAAACATACCGAACAGCCTTCATTGGCTAAAAAAAAGTGACAGTACCATTTATCGCTGCGAGAATCTTTGCACGTATAAAAGAAACGATTTGGATTTTCAGCGACCGACGAACAAAAATAGATATCACCAATAATGTGAGCAAATATTAAATTCTAAAAAAAACAACACATTAAAAAAGTCAATTATATATTTTTCAGAAAACTACTGAGTGATTTTTTTTAAATTAGCCACTTGCTTTCCTTTAAAATTATGATTTTTTTAAGAAAATTCTTTTAGGTATTTTAAAATTTTATATATTTCTAGATTTATTAATTATTAAATATTTTTTTAATTTACCCCTGATACGTTTTAAGAGCGTCAACATTATTTTTTTTTAATAGCAACATAAAAATTTAACTAGCTTATAAAATAAAAAATGATCTAATCAAATCAATAACGGTTCTATACTAATTTTTAATCTATTATTTTGGAAGTTATTATTATTTTTAAATATAGAATGGTGGTAAAGTGTGAGTTATAATAAGAAAGAAATACATAAAATTTTAATAGTGGCTAATATTAAAAAAATTACTCTACATATGGCTAGAATACATTTGGTTTCTTTGACTAACTTTTGATTGGCTCTCGACTAATCTCAGTTCGTATTCGGTTACCCACAAAATTGATGGAATTACATTCAAAATTCTTTGGTCTTGTTCTACAATCAATTTTTCAAAATAACTGTGACAAAATTTCGAATTTCTCAATTCTAAAACGTTTACTTCAACGCACCCTAAATACTGAAGCATACTTCTTAATATATAATAAAAAAAAAAAAAAATTTAAATATTGACTAACGTCCACAGGAAATGAGCAGTCCCCATTATGTATATTTTCCTCGTCGTTTTTCCAACTGCCGAAGTTTGGATTGATACTATTTTTATTTTCTAAAGATTCCGCTAAATTTTGATAAGACCCTTTGGAACGTGCCTTTTTGTTCTGCATTGGTTCGGTTTTTCCTGTAATTTAATTATAATTGAAAGAGATCTAGAGAGTGTTTAAAATTTATAACTATATTATATTGATATCTGAATCAATTATATAGTTTTAATATTAATAATAATTATTATCAATACACAATATGTATAGTCTACTGTTCAGTAGCATAGAAAAAATTATTTATTGATTTTTTTTTTTTTGTTGATTTTTTGAGCAGCCCCTTCAAAAAGTAGAACTTTTTATTATGAACATTACTATCAAATTAATCGTACTTTTGAAAGTTGAAAGTCATAAGTAGTAAAATAAATTTTATTTTTTAATTCATTCATATAATATTTTTATTTGATTATCACAATTCGATTTTATTTTGTAACAATATGAAAAATAAATTAACCTCAAATATTTCTATAGGAGCGAGAATGAAAACATTAGTATAATTTGTGGATAATATGTATCCCCCGCACTCTTACACGAATCATCACTTTCTAATTACTTTACTACATTTTTTTGTTTAATACGATTTTATCATTAAATCGAATTCATTATGAACGTTTAAACTTCTATTCTTACGTAAAATTTTAATTTATACTTTAAATATAGTTAATTATTACGCTTTAACATCTGTAGAAATTATACAATTGATAACATCATTCACTTATTTAAAATAACAAATGCTCCATTTTACTTTTCTCATAATTCTTTCACTTTTAATAATAGCCGGTGTTACGGACGTACAGCAGTCAATTATCTTATTAAGCTAATAGAATTTTTATAAATTTAAGATTTTTAAAATGTTTTATTTTTCAAAATAGACATTTTATTATACATTAATTAGTATTTAATATAATGTACATATCTCAAAAAACAACACAAAAATTAGAACTCTAAAAATGATTTAAAAAAAATTTCTTCTTTAATTTTATACAAGTATATTTGCCTATGCTCCGAATTTAATGATCCTAATTGTTAAATTAGGCAAATTTCTAATCAAGTCAGTATATTATTTAATTTAATAAGTAATTTATCCACCTTTTCAATAATTTATAATATATAAATGAGAATATTATGTCATTTTACAATATACCAATCTTATCGTATGTAAACAATAAACAATCATTATTATAAGTTTTTTTGATAAAATATAATTTAATTACGTACATGTATTAACGAAACAGACGATTGAGTCTCGACACAATAAAATTGTAATGATTCAATAATACACCTATATTGACATAAAGAAATTTCTCCGAAATACACGTGATAAGATAATTTGATGTATGGTCACTACACTGTACACGCCAATCACACTACTTTGCCAATAAATACTTAGAGTACACTGAATGTTCAGTATTTCTTCGGTCGAGGTCTATAGCCACAAGGTTTGCAAGTGAAAACCGTTACGACCGGTTTCTCCCACTCGACTAGATTACCCGCATCTTGCAATTATTTGTATACCTGAGAAGTGAATTAAACTTAATAAGCGACGGATAGGAATTGTCATTGCTTCCAACAATATTACCCAAATGAATTCAAAACAATTGAATTAATTCACGTTTTTAATAGTAGATAATTTTCTCTTTAGTATAGTTTACAGGTTTTCTTTTTAAACTTGAAAATCCTATTAATTTATTAATTTTTTCAAAAAATTCTATAATTTATAAAAATTTAACTTATTATATACATTTTAAGTTTTTATTTTTTATTCAATATGTATTTATTATTTCAAACAAATTCTTTTTCGTGTGCTCTATGTGTTTAATTACTAAAATATGTTACCAGTTGAGCGATACATTTGCAATATGTATTTATATGTATGAATGTAGCTACATAGAATAGAAAGCCTATATATTAGACACAAAGTTAAACTAACTATGCAAATTATTTTGATGAAAATATATAAATTAATAAGTATTATATGAAATCATAATTAGATTTATATGAATGTTTGTCAGTTGAATATAAATCAAATTATCATGTAATATTCTTTTATATGACTTAATTAAATCAATGCATCACACCTACAACATACCCACGCCGCTAAGACGTGTAATAATTAAATTTTTGTTTACATGGGTTCTGGTCCATCGTTTGACATCCGTCAAGGATGCTTTGCTCCTTCTTTTATTTTGCAGTCTTTTTACTTATTTTTTAATACTTATATTGTGATTTGGTGTCTCTTCTTCTTTACAAGTTTGTAGTCTAACTTAAGATATTTTCTTGCTAAAATAATTATTTAATCATTCACATTATACGCCTATATAATAATCTGTTTTCTTATTTAACGTTTAATAAACCCACACTACTCTTTTCTCCCATCTACACTGTGAATCGTGCTTTACCGCAAAGGTATATGAGGTAAGAGTAGTTATAATTAGTGATGGGCATTTTCGAATATTTTAAACTATCGAATAACTATTCGAATTGTTTTTATACAACCGAATAGTGTGTTTTTAGCATAAACTATCGAACAGTTTTAAAATATATTCAAATGGGCTAACTAATAGTTTCCAAAAATATTCGATTAGTTCTATCTAAAATTTTTATTAAGTACACTTAATTATAATAAGAAGATAAATACTTATAATAATACTTAAAATAAATTATTATACAATTAATAATAGTAAAAAGTACCATTTTACTAATATTTCAGAAGTTATAGCATTATAAAAAATGAACTGCAGTGAGTCGCAGGTATATATAAGGGTAGTTCTTATTTTATTAACTTTCATTGATCGATCTCCATACCCGCCAATTTTATTTTAGCTTCGATGCGAAGCTGAGAAGGTATTGGTTTTACTATGATGTGTTTTTTTTTTTTTTTTGTGTCTGTTACCACTTTTTCTCAGCTCTCACCGAACGGATTTCTTTCAACGATACGTCAAAAGATCACAAATCGTATCTAGTCGAAGACATTACCCTTAAAAATTGAAAAAAATTCCCTTGTTCCCCGTAAATGGGGGAAACCTCCAAAAAAATTACAAATTTAAAAATCGCTAATTTTCGAATTTTTTTACTAAAATATGCCGTAACTTTTTCAAAAATAAACGTATCAATATAATTTTTTTTTATATAGATGCTTGATGTCTTTACCTATTATTTGGTATATTTTTTTTGTAAATTTGACCTTTTTTCTGCCCACAGGGGGGGATTTAAAATGACAACTTTTTCACAAAAAATTAACTTTTTCAACTTAACTTTTGAAAATGTTCCGGAAGGTCTGACACTTTTATATATATCTTAAATTAAAGCTAATGTAATATACTTTAATTTGAAAAAAAAAAATTTGACCTCTGGACTTGTCTTCGTGGTGAAAGTTGACATCAAAGTTAATAAAAAATTACGATTTTTGTAAAATAATTTTTTTTTATATTTTTAACTTAATAATGCTGTAACTTTTTCAAAAATGAACATATCAATATAATTTTTTTTTATATAGATGCTTGATGTCTTTACCTATTATTTGGTATATTTTTTTTGTAAATTTGACCTTTTTTCTGCCCACAGGGGGGGATTTAAAATGACAACTTTTTCACAAAAAATTAACTTTTTCAACTTAACTTTTGAAAATGTTCCGGAAGGTCTGACACTTTTATATATATCTTAAATTAAAGCTAATGTAATATACTTTAATGTGAAAAAAAATTTGACCTCTGGACTTGTCATCATGGTGAAAACGGCTTCCGAATCATGCTTTTGTGTGAAAATT